CTGTTCTGAACATATAACAGAAATTTAACAGACAGAAAACAACAACCAAACGTTGACAGTGAGGGACTTCCCTGGTGGCGCAGTGGTTAAGAATCCACCTCACAGTGCAGGGGACAGGGGTTTGAGCCCTGGTCTGGGAAGATCCCACATGCCGCGGAGCAACTAAGCCCGTGTGCCACAACTACTGAGCCTGCGCTCTAGAGCCCGTGAGCCACAACTACTGAGCCCATGTGCCACAACTACTGAAGCCCGCACGCCTAGAGCCCGTGCTCCGCAATGAAGAGAAGCCACCGCGATGAGAAGCCCGTGCACCACAACGAGGAGTAGCCCCAGCTCGCTGCAACTAGAGAAAGCCCGTGCGCAGCAACAAGGACCCAGTGCAGTCAAAAATAAAATTAATTAATTATTTTAAAAGTTGACAATGATTATCTAAGAGTGATTTTTCACTTGGTTATTTTGAATGTGCCAAGTGCTAGTTAAGACAGGCCCCTGCCCAGCTGGAGCTGCCATTGCATCTGAGCCACATGGTCTGCACCTACTCCCACCCAAGACTCTACAGAGCCCAGCCCAGCTTCTCTAAATTTACAGGCTGAGGGGCTTCCCTGGTGGCACAGTGGTTGGGAATCTGCCGGCCAATGCAGGGGACACGGGTTCAAGCCCTGGTCCCGGAAGATCCCACATGCTGTGGAGCAACTAAGCCCGTGCACCACAACTACTGAGCCTGCGCTCTAGAGCCCACGAGCCACAACTACTGAGCCCGTGCGCCTAGAGCCTGTGCTCCGTGACAAGAGAAGCCACCACAATCAGAAGCCCGTGCACCGCAACGAAGAGTAGCCCCCACTCACCACAATCAGAGAAAAGCCCATACGCCGCAACGAAGACCCAACGCAGCCAAAAACAATAAATAAATAAAATTTTAAGTAAATAAATAAATAAACTTACAGGCTGAGCTTTGCCCCCAATGCACCTGAAAATGCATAGCTGACGGGCACTTAAAGAAGTAGAAACAGCTGATATGCCAAAACTCAAGGACTGAAAAATTAATTATGGCACTCTCAAAGAAATACTAAGCAGCCACTGAGAATTTTATAGAAGCATATTTATCAAAAGATGATCAAGATACGGTATGTGAAAAAGGTTACAAAACAATGATATTCACAGATACAGGCTAATAGGATTTACTAAATTTCCGACAATTGAAAAAATCTTTAAGTACTTTCAGTATCAATTTAAATTTAAAAAGAGGCGTGGAGTAAAGGTTTATGGCAGCTAAGCTGAATCCCAAAGGGCCCACAAGATGAGAACTGAAGTGGCCACACTGGCTGTCAGGGCCCAGGCGGTGGCGGGGCCCGGAGCCTGCACAGTTCACTGCCCCCCATTCTCCTGGGGCCCAATCTATCCCTCAGACCACTCTGGGGGCCACCCTGGGCTGCAGAACGCTGGCTGCAGGCTGCCCAAGAGAAACACTCTCTCTCCACCGCACCGCTGTCAGCAGCCCTGATGCCCACCCCTCCAGCCCCAGCCAAGAGGACACATGGGACAAAGGCCACTGCACTGAGAGTGAAGGCGCTGCAACGGAACCAGGCCTGGCCTGCCTGGGAGCTCGCATGCAGAGGATGGGAAGGGCTCCGTTTCCCCATCTATGACATGACAGCTGGATGAGCTCAGCTGTTCTCCACCCTGCCTGCACACCAGACAGGGATGGTGGCGGGGTCCCAGTGCCGCTCCCCTCCCTCTCAGCTGGGAGATCTTAGACGAGTCACTTCACTTGTGTGAACTGTGGTTTCCTCACCTCACGGTGGATCACAACGTTCCCCCAGAACAGGTTTAATGAGAAGGACTTTCGAGGCACTGGAGATCACAACATACAAGATGAAGACTGTCTTCCATGTAGAAAGGCCCCAGCCATGCTCCCACTCTCCCCCTACA